ATTGGATTTTGATGAAGAATGATGCAGAGAACTGTGCTAGTTGTTAGTTTTGAGGGAAATAGAAATTAATTACTTTTATTCAGAAAGATAGTAATAAAAGTCTTCAAGAACATCAGCTGCCTAGACTTCCAGGCATAGATTTGAAGTGAGTTTTAGATCATTACTAAAGCAGGGATTGAAGAAGGTCCAGGGAGTGAATTGTCAGCAGTATGTACAGTTCTTTCATCTTCACATTAAAAATTTATTGCATTTACAAGCCATGTGGTTTGAAAGTATCTTTTCATGGCTGATTAATCTTTATTTATGCTAGCAGAGATAAGTGTCCAGTGACTTGATGAAAATTAATTAACTTACTAATTTTATTAAGGTGGAATTTGGAGACATGTTAATTATGAAAAGAAAAAAATATGCTGAGAGTGATGTTGAGATTGTAACTGGAAGCCACACTGTGGCCCTGGCAGGAGGACAGCGTGGGTGGTGCCTCCTTCTCCCGTGCATCCCCACAGTGCCTGGCCACAGAGGGAGGCAGAGGCAGCAGGAGCCAGGGGCCTTCACACCTTGTCCTTCTCCTTGTGCCTGCAGAGGCAGCCTCAAGGACAGCAGCACCCCTACAACGCTTCCACAGGGCCCCCTGGAGCTGCCAGATTTATCCATCACACCATAAAGCATGCCCCATCTCCTGATGGCTGGTACTGCACATGGCAAGTCCCTTTTTCTAGTGCTCTTACCACACAAGGCTCTTGCCTTGAACTAGCACATTAAATAATTTTAGGAAGTATGTGTGTTCAAGTATTTTGCTGAAAAAGATCTTAAATATTGTTTCCTTGAGACATGTTCTGATTTTTGAGACATGTTTCTGACTCCTTGTGATTCTTAACTGATTTATTATTTATAACTACACCTTCAGCATGCAATATTAAAAAAAAAACTGTTTTGCTCTTATTTAAACACCTGTTTAACTTCTTACACTATTGTAAACTTGAATGTTGCAATAAAATAAAGGAAAACAAAAAACCAGAAGTAGACAGCATCTTAGACCTAATGATTCTGCAGCACTGAATGCAGAATAGAGCTCTTGATACACGGCTCTAAGTACCACATCAATACCAATAAAAATAAATGGGATGTTGAACTGCTGCATGGACTAACATCACTGAGTCACCTCTCCTAGACAGTCCTCTGAAAAAAAGCTTTCTGCTTTCCCTGGAGATGGAAACCACCTTCTTTCTGGAACAGGAGTCCTCCAACTCCCTGTCAAATAAGGCTGTCCAGCCCGTTTCTAAATGAGCTCATCCTCATCCCCAGCACTCAGATGGAGCCCTGGAAATCCTGTATGAATTTACCATTGAACAGTTTTTCAAAGAAAGCCTTTAAAGACCATGGTAGTTATCTTTATCTTCAGCCATTTCTTTAGTCAGGAGTTTAATAATAGCTGAACAGAAAATGGTGAGCAGACCTGTCCATGTACCAGTAACTATTTGTGAGGACATGTGTGAACACCGCTATGTGATTATCCCTATGTCCCTGTTCCATGATTATTTGAACTGGAAAATACATTCTTTAAATTACTACATTCTTCTAAAAAAATTTATATATCTTACTGGATTCTTTTTTCTACAAAAAGCAGTGAAACACCGAGCACCTACACATTTATGGCAAAGCATAGAGTGTTGCCAGGAGAAAATGAAGAAATTCTGGTAACCACCATACCCTTCAACCTGTTAACAGTCAGGGCTGAAGTACTGCAGTGCTTCAGTGATCTCTGCAGAACACAGCTTTTCTTTCCAGGAGGAACAGCTCTGGCAGACAAACTCACTACTTTCCCCTGCTCTGTGTGACCTTTTCTAGCTGGGAGCGGGAGAGCCTAACACAAAGATGGATTAATACATGTAGAATCTAAAGAAAGATGTAGATTAATAAGCAAGATATAAATTAAGATACTAGCTGTTTTCTGTTAGGAAATAGAAAGAACAAATTCAATGTTCAAACCAGTATGTTTCTTCTATATACTTTAGTCTTGGGTATCTTTCTTACTTGTGCTCCAATCAAACACAGAAACTTGAAGTCCCCACTAAGTGCTATCCATCCTGGGCAAAAGTAAAGGTTACCATTAAATTCATATTTCCCTGCTGCAGTAAGGTAGAAAAATCATAAAGAAAGGCTTCATAAAATCAAGCCTGCTCTCATGGAATCAGTGACTGGCCTTGCCATTTTGCAAGCTCCCATGTGAAAGAAATCCTGGTGTGAGCAGTTGCTTAACATAACAATCTATTCCTGGGTGAAAAACAGCTAGCACCTGTGTAAACTGTTTTTACACCGTTAGATAGAAAAATGAAAACTATCTCTCACAAACTTTTCCTGCACATACACACCAGGGGTTTGAGTGACCAATGAATACAGAATAACAACTTGTTACTAACCAAGAAAAATAATTGGCAAGAAAACTACTAACCAATTAGAGTCCCACACAAGGTCTGTAAAACTGTATAAAAAGGAGTTATATGAATAAAGAATGGGCTTTTTCCACCATGAAGAAAATGGAGTCCCTGTGATTTATTCCCATACTTCCTCAATCTGATCATTTGCACAGTTCAGAAGAGAAATAATATCTGCTGCATATTCCAGCAATTCTTCCTATGTTTCTAGAAGAACAGATATGTTCTTAAACATATAATGTGTGTTTAAAAACTTACTGACCAGGAGACTGCTGCATCGAGAGAGACACTGCACTAAGCCCCAGAGATCCATGCCTGTGAGGTGTAAAGTTGATTATGACACTTAACACCCACTTCTTTGGTAAACTGAGGTTTAGGCAGCTGCTCTGGGAAATCCTTGATATCTTGAGAGTCTCAGCTGAGGACAGCAACTTGTCACTTAGGTCCACAAGAGAAAGGTTTATTTGGTAACCAAGAGTGAAAATGCAGGTGGAGCTTAAGCTGCACAGGGTCCTGAGAGCGTGTTATGTTTCTTCTGCTGTACAGAAAGGTATGGTTCTTAGGCTGTTTCTCCGTTCTTAATAAACTGTATGGGAGTTGAGTGTACTCTAGGAGAAGCCAGAGAAAAAAAGGAAAGTGATATTTTTCAGAAAATTATATGACCTGAATTTAGAAGACTTGATTTTGTTTTCCATTCTGTGTGTATATACACTATGTTCAGGCTGCATAAATTGCTTTACTGCTACAAGAAAAGCCAAACTATATTCACAAAATAAAATGTGTGTAATTAATTAGAAGAAAATACACCATTCTATCAACAAATCTCCTGCATAATTAGAACAGTAATGCTGTTGTGCACAAGTTAATAAAATTTTAATATGTTTTTGCTAAGTCAATAAGCAATATGTTTTCTACTGAAAAACTGAAAGACTCTCTGGAAACTTCAGCGCCAAATGTATGTATGTATGCACATGTTACTGACCAATTTGTCAAACAAATCTTTGTGGAGGACACGCGCATTAGAGTCAACTGTGTCATGCTGTTGTGAAAAAGCATCATACTGGGATGTATAAACAGCCATACAGACTGCAAGACACACACAGTAATTACTGCTTCCAGTATGGGTGATGCCTTAGGTGATGTACTGTGCTCATTTTGTGCACCACAATTCAAGAATGAAGTGGACCATTTGGACAGCAACAAGATTGATCAAACATCTGAAACTTATGACTTTTGGAGAAGGAGAGAACACACTGGGGTTATTAAGCCTACAAAAAAGAAAATATAGGGCAGACGCAGTAACAGTCTTCAAATATGCTGCCTTCTGCCAAAGATTAATAATCTACTCTCCTGTCCCTGCTGAGCAGGTCAGGAAACAGTGGCCTTAAATTCCAGGAAGGAAGATACAGGTTAGAGACTCATGGGGAAAAAATAGAAACCTGAAAGACTGGGAACTACCATAATAAAGTCTGCAATGGCTACAAAAGCTTTAGCTGGTGAAAATTTGTATGGAGTAGATTAGATTAATATTTTTCAGAAATGACACAGATATGTATGAAGTTGTCTTGAAGGCAAGATTCAACTTGATATTGCTCCTCTACTGTTTTCTTATCTTTTTGTGAGATTGTGAGACATCTGTGCAGTGCTCCACAATTAGTTTTCACTCTGGGATAAGAGGACAATGCAATGCTCTTTTCTCTGATTCAAGGCATAGGATATTTAGTTCAGACCAAAGATTCATTACTTTAGTTTTTAGTCAATTGAACTGGATTGTGGAGTTTTGAGGAAGTCATCAGGGAGAAATAGAATTTGGGAGTAAAGTGTAAATAGAATCAGCTGTTAGATGGTCTGGGGAGAAAAGTTTGTAAGTACTTTATTAGTTTGAACCTCATTGACCAAAAATGTTGTGCTCAATTGGTCTTTCAAGATGATCATACTGAAAGACTTTGGTTCTGAAACTAAGCAGAAAGTGAGATTCAGTAATTTTTTTCTAGTGAAATTTATCTTGCCTTGTAAACCTCTAGAAACTATAAAATACAAGAACTAAACTTAACTGCTGACAGCCCTTCAGTAGAAGATAATTTTCCCTGACCTCTACAACTTGACAATGCTGCTTCTTGATATGTTATACTTAGATTTCCTATTCCTTAATACTAAATGCAAGTGGCTGACGTGCTGTTCAGAAGGTGTTCATAGTTATCTTTTTGTAACCTAAATTAGGCAGAATTCTTAACTGCATTCTTATATGGCTACAGTTATATAAATTGACATGGTACTTTATTCTACCTTCCTTATAAGCTGTCTTGTTTTCTTAGTTCTGTTGTCACAATCTGCTCTAAATATCTCGCTGACATATTCCTTGATAAAATTACTTTTCATATGCTTATATGATTAGTTATGCTCAATAAAAACATCTTAGGAAAGATGAGTAGAGTCTAAAGAAACACATGCCCACAATAGTTATGTAAACTGGTTTCTAATTAGGACCATTCCCTCACAAATCACAATGGATAAGTACATATCTTCAAAAGGTCACTTTTGTAATTTTTCAGTGTCATACTGCTGAATACTGTGGGAGATGCTGAGTGCCAGCATTAAAGCTGGAAGTGTTTGAGGGCTGTGGACAGAACTCCCACGGAGAGGCAGAGGAAGTGCAGCCTGACAGATGGAATCAGCGCCTTTCCAGGAATGCCCCTGCATGGGACATCAACCTCTTGTTCCACAAAATGCTTCACTCCAGTCACTATCCCCAAAGTCCTTCAGAAGAAAACTGTGAGTAACTGGGTGCATGTAACACTGCCAGCAGAGAGAAAAGTGGTTTGGCCTGGTGTATCTGGTGGGCAACATTTGTTGGAAATGCTAAAACAAGGACAGAAGTTCGTATTACCCACTCCTGGTTCTGCATTTTAGGATTATCACTGCTTATCTTTACCTTTCTTTTGAATGAAGATAAAGTAGGTGAACACTAGGAGGAATGAACATGAATATTTTTTTGTAATTGTAAAAAATCCTCATAAGTGAACTGAACAGTAAAAATTTGGTTAATTTAAATGTTGAGATCATAACTTTGGTGGAAGTGTAAAAGCACCTAAGATAAACTGCAACAGCAAATTTTTCTGTTCCAATAATGCCTTTGGCTAAGTAAAACTTGTGATATATGCCTGGATCTATTAGTGACAGATATATTTTATTATAGGGATTAATCACATAATAAAGATCAATCATTTGTTCTCTTTTATTTTTTAAACCAGAGAGTCTTGAATGCTTGTTAAGATTCTGAGGGAAGAGGAGGAATTTATGCCAATCATTCAATATCAGATTTTGTGAGAAAGGGTAAATGTAGCACTTTTGAAAACTAGACACAAAGGCCAGATTGCACCAATACAGGCCAATTTACTCCTGTTCCATCACTGAATCTGCACTTTTCTGTAGAGCAGCTGAAGAGACTGGCAATTCTCATTCTACCACATCACACTAACAGCATGTCCTTTCCTGCATCTTCAACCTTGAGGTATGTTTATCAGCATTCTTCATATTTTTGGTTTGACAACACAGCTCCAGGAAGCATAAGATTACGGCACGCATCTGTGAGCTGTTTAAATGCATTTAAATAGATTTATTGCTTCACTTTGTGACATCATACAAAGAGTTCCAACAACTGTAATAGAAATCTGATAACATCTTCTAGATGATTGAGACATTTTTGATTCATTTGCCTGGCAGAGGACAGTAAAATAGATGTCAAAATTATGATACCCTCTAGACATTTTTCCTCTACCTCTATGCATTAATAATACATTTTAAACATGGCAAAGCAGCTTTAATTTCTGTCTTGCAGTAACAGCTGAAATTAGAAGAAGATTACTACATACTGTGAGTATAAAGGAGAGAAAAATGCTTATCATTGATAAGGCAGAATCAGACAGAAGAAATGCAAGAAAGAAAGCAAAACAATCTGTGCAATCTCAAAGATATTTCTTTTTAATTTTGTGTGTTAAATTTTCTCTAACAGGCAATGAATTTTCTCTAACAGGGAATGAATTAAGCATTTGTTGTACAGAAGTAGTGGTGTTATTACTTTCCTCTTACATTCTGCAAGATTGGATAAATACAATAAGAATTAAAGTCACAGAAAAAGTATGCAAGTAATTTATGTGCTAATTGTCTGTTCAGGATTTAAATAAGGCTGCATTCATCAATACCTACCTTCACAAGGTGGAGCTCCTTAGCAGGACTTTTAACTCCTGTAAATCTATTTACCAACACTGAAAAATCATAAGAAATTATTTAAAAATATCCAGAATTCAAAAATTCATGCTCTGGGTATTGGCTTAGGAGCTGTCATCTTAATTTGGTGCTCTCTTCAAGATGAATACAATACTGAGAATTTTAAACAAGCCCTAAGGGGAGGAAAATATGTACACACAAATGAAAAGCAAGCTTTTTGTTAAAGAATTTTTCACTTGTATATGATACAAGAATACATGAATGCAGAATTGTATTTAATATTATGTCCCTACGCCCCACATTATTGAGTCTACAAAGCCAGAAGTTGATTTCACAGGAGCTTAAAATGTAGATGTCAGCAATATCTTAGGATTCTTGGAGTGTTAGGTACCCTTAAAGTCTGCCATTGCTCCAGATTGAACCCACAGGTATAACGATACAATCACAGATACCACAACTGTTCTTATGACAGAGGGACTGTTGGGCATCAATTCTACATGTGACAAAGTGTGTCAGGAAGTTTTTGAGGTTTTATTAAAGCCATTTGTGACTCCCAAAACTGTTACATCCTGTCTTTTCAGCTGTACCTGTTCAGGAGCTGGTGGATGAATGCAGTGACCAGAGGGCTGCACAGAGGCTTCCAGCCACAGCTGAACTTCCTTTGCATTGTGAGCTGCTGAAAATAGCTTTGAGGGCAGCTAGGAGAACCTGTACCTAGGCATTGAATTCAATACCTTAGTAACATGGCTGCTTTCTGTTCAGCTGACCACAGATGGTTTTGACTCCTTGGAAATAATATTATTTGCAATTCAGTTTCCTGCATCCAAATATTTAAATTTAAAAAGTAGCCAAAGTAATCCACACAAAAACAATATGGAAAGAGATGTGGGAAGGACTGCAAGACAGTCTCACCGTAAATGAAATAAGGGTATTTGAATCTCAGAGAAATATTTCTATCCTTGCAGACATTTTTTCACCCTTAATAAAAAGAAGTAGAATAGGAATTTGCTGTTAAAGATTATATCTGAATCAATGTAATAAAAATACTGCATTCCAAGAGAACATAGATGAAGTAATGAAGAGGAAAAAAAAATAAACAAAAGATGTAATAAGTTTTTGTCTTAAAATTTACATGAGGTAAAGGGTGGAATGATGCTCTTAGTCTGTCATGAGTGCATGGAAGCCTGTGGGGAAATGGAAATTAATGTGATGCATTAATTTAATCAGTATCTCTACATATGTGATATCTGTCCAAGAAAAGTTACTTATAGTACCATGCAGGATGCTATGTGGGCTGATGGTGCATTGGAAATAACACTAGTGCTCCTAAAAACTACATGTGACCTTAAATCCACAAAGAAAAGAAGAATGCAACAGAATTAAAACACGTAGTCACTAAAATGTGAATGTTATGATATGAGGCAAACTGATATTTTGCTAGGCTTTTATTTTTACATTATTCAGAAGACATAAAGAAAACCAGTACCTAGGAAAAAGGATATGAAAAAGGGGTAAAGAAAATCTAAGTATGTTTGGAGAAAGGCAGAACCAGGCATAGCTTAGGATCTTTCTCAAGAAAAAGTCCTACAAAAATGTGTGGATTTGATTACTTATTTCCCATAAACTCTTAAATAGTAATTTATTTTACAGCAGAACACTAACCAAATGCAATATGGGTTTTCATAGCTACCAGCTCAGCAAAACGTCACATAATACTGACTTTACAATCACTTTTCACTCATCTTGTATTGAAAGCAACGTATTTGGATAAAAGGGTTCATCTCTATACACCTTTTCCAAAATTATGAACAAAAAAATTCTGTAGTGTAAAAAATGAAAGCAAAAATCCTGTTAATATTAGAAGATATTTATTTTAAAATACTAAATATTTCAGTTATTTCTCTGTGCTCCCTCAGAGAAAAATGTTTAAATGAGAAAATCCTCTGTGGCTTTCAAAATTAACTGACTCTCCTGTTGGCAGTCAAAGCCCAGAAGCCAGCTATTCTTTTCCATTAAAATAATCCCTCTATGTCCTGGAATGAGAATGCCTGTATTCGTGGGGGCAAACAAAGACCAATGGTGGCTTCATTCCCTCTGCTAATAGATTTTAGTTAATCTTCTGAGAACTATTCTACTTTCTAAGTTTCATAACAATTAGATTCTGCATTACCTACTAGTGTACACTGGTGACAACAAAAGAAAATAAAGTTTTTATGATCCTTGCAGTAAAACTGAAAATCAATTTGGATGCCGTCCTAGATGGGTACAGTGCTGACAAACAGGAATTAACCGGTATTAATACAGTCCTAACAGTGTCTTGTGACATAAAGAAATATATTAAAGAGTTTAAAGTTTTACTAATCAAAGAAACACAGTAAAACTAAATGGGAAGCATAATAGCTGACTACTAGCTTAAGGAAAGATTGGGAAAACTACCTTGTATTTATGAAACCAAGAAAACACAGCAGCATAGACAAAAGTAAACAAAAGCCCTAGCCAGTGTCTGTGGAAACATCATACACTATTCATAGGATGCAATTGCACTACTGACAATCATTCCAAATCACTCCAAGAGCAACTGTGACAAACCTCTGGTGTTTCAAGATATTTCATGACATTCACCAGAGGATAAATGAAAAATGATTAATTTATAACTTTTATACAGCACACAGTATTTTCAACTTTCTGAAGTCCACATATTCACAGCTTTAACTCTATACTGAGGATGAGGATAGCAGAAACAGGGCTGGCAACATGAAGGTTTTGAAGGAATAGACCTTACTGACCTGACTCCTGATCGTGTTTATGCCTCTCTGAAGAATGCAGCAAGCAATTTCCCTCTCACACGTCATGAAATTCTCTGTAACATACAGAGAATTTTTCAGAAGCAGAATTTTGTTAATAGTAATGTGGAGGTGAGAAAGCATCAAAGATGATCTGAGATAGTACTAAAAGTTGCTTTTTACTTTTCAGTTAGATTGTATATTAAGATTTGATTTTCTTGTTAAAGGCTCAGCTGAAGTTTGTCAGAATGCTTTTAAACTATAAAAAAATATGCTTATACATTAAAGAGAAATTTTAGTTTATATGACAGATAAAGGAACACTCTGTTCCATAAATTCTTTTTATGTCATATATTTCCATATTATTGTTAATATCTTGCCATCTGAAATGCCTTCACTTCAGGATAGCTTTTATTATCATTCATCCTAACCAAAGGAGACAGTATTTTCTTAAAGTTTAGCATTATAAAAAGAGTTGGTTACACTGCCAAATCATAGATAAAATAATGGATAGAAAATGCATTAAATGCTATGTTGAGAAGAGTGCTGCCATGTTACTCTCAGTAGAGTCATTACTCTGAGATATATGTTACATGTTTTCTTCCTAAACCTATGGACTCAGTCTCTTTGGAGTTAAAGAGCTTGGTTTAGCTGCATAATTGGCTTGGTTTTTTTTCCCTTTGCTTTGACTTTTTGATGACAGGTTGGAGGTGTGAGGTGATCCTCCTCACAGCTTTTGCTCAATACGTGCTTAGACTGCTGAAGTATGCATTGTTCCATCTGTGCCAAGGAAGTAAGAAAAGAAGGAAAAACAGGAAAATCATTAAGAAAGTGTATACACTTAAGTCTTGGTTTTATATGTCTCTACACTGAAGTAAAGGTGTTGTAAATCTGGGCACTTGAAATCTATGTAGCGAAACACTCCCTGAGCTCTCTGGATAAGAAGCAGGGACAGATTCTGTGCCTGACTGACTTAAGTCATCTATGATAGAACAATACTGTCATTCATTATTAACAAAGCCCAGATGTGAACAGACTTTTAACCTCAAACGGGAGCTTTTGGTTCAACTACTCCCTCTGTAAGTCCGTCCGAGACTTTCTTTTCTAGGTTTTAGTTTTTATAAGAGAAACACTGGTCAAAAAGGAGATAGGATCACTTACTTTGCTGAATATGGTTTTCCTGGTATATTGAGTCATTTTCTGTTGCTCTGGTCTTTAACCAGAGAGGAATCACAGCCAATTGAAGTCCCTGTTTTTTTCCTGCCAACTCAAACAGGCTTCACAGTTGGGAAAGCTGGGGTAGCAGCCTTGTCCTTTGCCAGCACTAGAGATATGAAATTATCCTGAGCAGAGACTGGAGTGAGAAGAAACATCAGGCATGCTGCAAACTCATGGACCATAATCACAGAGAAAAAATACCATAAAAGGTTCAGCTTAGTGAGAAAATCATAAAGACCCTGGATGTTCCACATAGCATAGATTAGCACCATTTTTGCTTTGCTTCATTTCACCACTGAATCCAGCAGTGTTATGCAGCTTCCAACAGGCTTTTGAGCAGCAGTGGCATTGTGGCTCTGAGCACTTCTGGCTCTGAAATAGAATGCAAATGTTGAAAACCTGCTGGCAATGGACAAAACACATCCCCTCCCGTGTCAGCAGTGAGAGCCTCAGACATTTTATGCTCTAGACACTTCCAGATGGCAAATCTTCAGATGCTCCTGGTTTCTAAGACAAACTGAATCAGTGTGCCTCTATGGGAATTGGGACTTGGAGGACTGTGGAACTGCAGAGTGCAATTAGCTTATCATCCAGCAGTCAAGTTATGACATGAACAGATTTTAGCCCACCAGCTCACCAGCAGAATGACCAGCAGCACTTGCAAAAGACACACTTTGAGCTGGCTTCCTGCCAGCAGGTCTGAGCTGAACTACCAATTAATATTGGTGAGACAGCAAGGTCCTTCAAGGCTGTGCTGCTTGTGCAGATGTGCCCTCACATACAATGGCAAGGAGCTGCCCTCTTTAGATCATCGGTGTCCCAGGCATCTGGGTGGAGGGTGCTGTGCCTGCTGTCACCTCTGCTCCTTGAGGGACAGTCCTGCAGGCAAATATACCTATGTCCTCTTTCAGCCTTGTTTGTGGGAGAGTAATAGCTGGTCAAACAGGGAAACCCTTATTTCTCATACACTGTACCATCACTTAAGGTCTCACACTCAATTTTATATTTGTCCTCTACTAACTACAGCTATATTGATGAATTTAACCCTCCTCTAGAAAAAGAAAGCTCTGCACCAATTCCCTTGTGTTGCAGTTGTTCTGTAAAATATCAATCACCCTTTTATTTGTGGGTAGGAAAAGAGAGAAAAGAAACAAGGGAGTTAAGTAAATTTTGGCATTAGGACATGCTTAAAGTGTTAAAATAAGTTTACCATTCCAAATATTTCCCAAACACTACTGTGAAACCTTAGTGTTGTTTAAAAAACCCAAATACTCTGTGAAAGCTTCTTGAAAGGAAGGAGAGAATATCAAACCAAATCCATTTTTAAAGGTGCCTTTTTATCAGTTTAGAATCACAGTGACATGCTACCAGAGGGGCTATTGAAGTACTGAAGAAAACTGCTTTCTAGATTTGAAGTTTAGGCAGATGACTTAATCAAGTAAAATGACACTTTTAATGTTATCTTTCATTAATGGGAAGTTGGTTTTATGTCTCACATTCAAAGAGCTGCCTCCTCTGAGCAGAATTGTGCTCTTCATGTGTCAGAGCCATGCTCTGGTACAAGCCCTCGGCTCTGCTCTGCGTCTGTGCCTGGTGATTTCCTGGAGCTCAGAAGGCAATTCATGAGGAAACACAGTGGCATGGTTTTAATGAACGGGATTAAAGATTCTGGGTCAGGCAATCAGAGCAAAAAGGGGTCCCTCCTGATTTTGATGAAGTTTCAAGGAGCTAAATGCTGCAATAAAGGATGACTTTTGCAATTGCCTTTCTCTCTTTTCATTAGATTAATGCTGGAAAAAGTGACACTTTAAAAGGTTTAATGCTGAGCTTAGAGCTGTAGCACTGCTGCTAAGTGGATGCTTTTCTTGTTGAAAGAGCAATGCAACAAGGAAACTCACATTGCTTCCTTTCTAAATTGCAGGCTGATGTCCATTTATAGTTCTAATTCTAGGTCATTATTGGGAATAGAAAATTGTAGTGTCCCCTCTTTTCATTTTCCATTGCTTTAATGACATTAACAGTTCTGAGTCAAGAATTGTCTTACAACTCATGTGAAGAAGTCCCTTCACACAGCAT